CCTCTCTTTTTTTATCCTGACCTCAACTGTTTATGACTTTGACTGCTGTTCCTTCTAATCTCAATTTAATTTCATCTGTAATTATGGCTACACCCCCTGGGGCTAGAGGTCTGTTCTTGAAACTTGGATATATCTCAACTTCTAACCCATTTGAACTTGCATCATTATTTATTTTTATTTTGTCTTTGAAATTATTTACTTTAACAATTGTTATGAAAAATGCATGCATTTTGCACATTGTAAATTTATATTTAATTATAGGAAAAGAGTTTATGCAAATAACTTTATACTTGTGAATATTTGAAGACTTGTATCAAATATTGTTGCTTGCAACAAAATAGGTTTCCAGAAAAACTAAATTGCACTGCAACAGTTGAAACAATGACAGATTTCAGTTAAAGAAGATTTCAGTTAAAGAATGGAATTATATTGATGCAAAAAATTGGGTCATTTTCATCGTGAACACATTAGAAAATGTGAGTAAAGCACTCTGTGTAATGGAAAAAAGTTGCAAGTGCTTTATCACATGCAACATTAAAAGTTTAATATATCTTGGTTTCAAGATGAGGTTTTGACTTTAAAGTACACATTTCTCTTAAAATAGATGTTCTTATTTCTTATTTATGACAGCATTTTATAAGCTGCATGTTTTAGGGCACTTAACAAAAATTTGTGTTAATGGAAAAACATTTCATATGATATAATTTCTCTCACTAGCCAAGCATGAAAATACCATTAATAAAAGCACAGATTGTCGAATGGAAAGTTATGCTTTATTTAGATTTAGTCAGTATTATTACTTTCATCATCAGACTTTAAAGATCTGTAAAAGTCAGAAACTTGCACATGGAAAGTAGGTCATTCTTCTTTGCACTTTTCATTAGGATTGCCTACTGTTGCATTTGACAGATGAATGTTCTAGAAGCCATTAAAGGAATTTGAAACTTTACAGTCAACCCCCCTTTAACACTGTTGATTATTCCATTTTATATGAATTCCATGTTGTACGAGTCACTTAGATTTTACAAATACGTGAGCCGTTCACAGCCCGGCATATGTATTTGTAAAATTTAAGTGACTCGTACAACATGGAATTCATATAAAACAGGTTAATCAATCAATCAATCAACATTTATTGTCTATTGGGAATTACTTCCCTATTACAAGGGGTTGTAGAAACATGTATCCATATTTATTTTTAATAAAACTATACATTTTCTTTAATTTTTTAGTTTGCATTTATTTCTCGCGTACATATGCACATATTCTTTAATTTAATTTGTTTTGTTATTATAAGTTTCTACTATTTTACAAAAATAATTATAAATATTATATAATTCTTTTTTACTCATATTATTAAATTTTTTTAACAATTCTATTAGTGAGTTGCAATTATAAGAGCTGTTTATATTATAATGAATACACAATATTAATAATTTTGTTTAATTTAATTAAACTTTAAAAAAGATAAATTAAATTAAATGAAAGTATTTACATTTTTAAGCAAACAAATAGAAAAAATTTTTTTGATGTTTGTTTGAATTGTATTTTTATAAAATAGTTTTATTTTTGATTTGAAACAAGTTTCAAGCTATAAACTGTCATAAGTCGTAGTAGTTAGTGAGTTTATTTAATACAGATTATATCATATCATATATATTTCCAGTCATAGAGGCTGCAATATAGATGAGAAGGGTTTATATTGTAAGATGTATAAATCAAAATTATATGCTAATAATTTTTGTTTATCTGATGCCATGTAACACTGACATTATTGTCTATTTTACAAAATTATAATTCTTTATTATTTTGTAATATAGTATTATGTCATTAGAAAAAGTTAATTTAACTTTATTCTCATGTATTATTTTTATAAATTGTCAATAAAATGATAATTGTTTAAACTCTAATCAGTAAATTTTTTCATACTTATGTCATTTCATTGTAATATAAAAAGTCTCTGTATCATTTTTTTCAAGTAAAATATTTATATCATAGTTGTTTTATGCTTTGAAATAAAATTCCAGTTTTGAATATTTTTATAATGAAATCAGGAAAAAGAATTTCTATAATAATATCAATAATTAAAGAGTTTATCTTATTATTTTATAAGTTTACAGTTGAATTACGTTAAGAAACTAATTTAAATAAGTTAGTTTTATTTCTATTTCATTCATATAGAAAATTAAGAAACTTTTTATTTATAGTTGTAGAGAATAATCAAAGATTGTTCTGTTATCTTTGTTGCCATATATTTTATTATTATAATTAGATCCATTAATTTTTTTATTTTCTAATTAGTTATTCAAAATAATAATAATAATAGTATATATATTTATCTTTCAATATATACAATAATGGCTTTATTTTAAGAGTTTTGCATTTCACATGCAGCAAAAAGCAATTTTATGATTGTCATTTGTTGAACTGATAATTTACATGAATATATTTTTTTACATAAGAATAAATTTTTTGCAACTTCTTGAAAATCAAAGATTGTTTTTTAATATAAATATTTTTTCTATTACAAAAAAAGAATTTCTTCAAGGATCCTTGGAACACATTTGATTTTATTACTGTGATAGGAAGTGTCATTGATGCTTTGGTTATGGAAATTGGGGTAAGTACTCAAGTAAGTATCTCAATGCATCCCATTCTAAGAACCAAACAAAACTTCAAAATACTTCCTCCAAATAAAAATTTAAAACTTCATTGTGATTTCTCTGTAATTCTATAGTGCTGTCATTTTCTTCATGGAATGTGATGCATTTCTTCCTGTCTTTTTAGTTTCTTTAGTACAAAAATTCGTAGCTGTTCTGTAAAACTAGTAATTCTTCTAACTTGAATGAGCATGTTTATATGATTTAAATTTAATCTGTTTCTTTGTTGTTCTGTCTACATAATATAATTTTGACATTTGAAATAAATAAATGAATAAGATTTCTGTCCCTCTTTTATTCACAAAATAAAGACATCTATTATAATGTGATTTTAAAAACATAATGTAATTAGTAACTTGAGGTATGCTAGTGTGTCTTGTCTGTGTTTAAATTAATATATACCAGTTTTAGAAAATTATTGACTAAAAAATTATATAATTTTTAATACTGTTATATTGTTTTATTTGATTTTATTAATGTATTAAAATATTTAACATTGAGTTTTGAAATTAAAAATGCCTTCTAGTCTCTTTTTGCTTTATATTATATTTTAAAGATTATCATTATATTTTTTTTAATGTTATACTTTAGTAAGTAAATGTAATTTTGTTCATGATTAACATTTTGATTAAATTTTGATATTACTAAGTTAATATAGCAGTCTATTTGTTGCTGTTTTTTTGTAAAGATAATGAATGGACTAAAGATTTTATGGTCATTAAACAGCTATCTGTAAAAGTATGGTTTATTGATAACAAGTTGCTAAAGAGTTGCCTAGAAAAGATTTTTCCAAATTGGAATGAATCCTATGTTGTTAATGCTAAATAGCTCTTCACAAAAGAATCAGTAACCTGTAGGTTAATAATACACAATATTAATCAATCAATCAATCAACATTTATTGTCTATTGGGAATTACTTCCCTATTACAAGGGGTTGTAGAAACATGTATCCATATTTATTTTTAATAAAACTATACATTTTCTTTAATTTTTTAGTTTGCATTTATTTCTCGCGTACATATGCACATATTCTTTAATTTAATTTGTTTTGTTNGGGCATTCACACACTCTTCTATTTTCAAGAAGAAAACTCATGAATTACAGTACATAAAACATCTGGCTATCCAGCATGGGTACCTGCCTAGATTAATAAAAAGTTTAGTGAACAAATATGAAGTGCAAGACAAACATGGGAAAGGCAAAACATAAATTTGAGGTTGTGCAGTATAACAAGACCCTGATGGCTATATACTGAGAAGTCGCAGGAGACAATAATCTTTCCTTGGCTTACAGAAGGAACTTCACCATCCATATGCTTCTTAGAAACACCAACAATAAGATGTTTCTGCTGGAGTATACTCCTTACCACTTCAGGACAATAGAGATGGTCAACACCTACAATACATTGGGACAACAATACGTTCATTAAAACAGCATCTGCAAGAACATCTTATTTCAATTAATAAAGGGCAAACTACTATGGCTTTAGCCATACTTGTATAAACCTTGGCAAGGATAGACAGATAAACAGACAAATAATCTTTATTAGCACCTGGCATCGCTAGGCACAATCATGAATGTTGTACATAAGGTACATTGCAGATACATACAGATATATAAACAGATACATAAACACAAAAGAATATAAAAATAAAATTAAGAATAAGACAAAAAATCATGTATTTACAAATTGAGGAGGATGCTGAAGTTTTTTTTAAGTTGGGATGCTGAAGTGTTTTTAAGCATGCAACAGTCCATAAGACAGATATGACAACAATCTGAGTCACCGTGATGGAACCTGTGCAGATAAACATTAAAACATCCATGCTCAGTAAGGAACTGTGTAAGGCAATGATTCGGGTGATTCCATTTCCACTTAAGTCGACTGTCAATATTAGGAAAGAGTTGCCTTGTGATATGGGTTTCTGGCAGGGAGTTCCAGTCACTTTGCCAGCTCTCAATCATGCTATTTCATAGCCATTGTCTGACATTGGAAGAGGACAGCTGATAATAGGCAAAAATGCCTTCACAATGTTCTGTGGCAATATGGGCAACGAAATCTGCCCTCTCGTTGCTCAGAGTGCCTTGATGACCCCTGATCCATTTAATGTGGTTGTTATTAAAGGACAGGGAGGCAGTAGAAAGGATGTTCCTTGCAATTGGATGGTAGTTGTCCTTATTCTGAAGGGTCTGCACAGTAGCAGCACTATCTGTACTGATGTTGATGAGTTCTCCCTTATACTCATTATTGTGGAACTGTACAGCCATAAGGAGAGCAAATATCTCAGCCTGAAACACTGAGCATTCCAGGTGAAGCTTGAAGGTATCATGATGTGTTTCCAGGCCAGAAGAGAGGATGACAAATGCACCTGCTGTACCCTGTGATGTTTTCGAGCCATCTGTGAGTGACTCAATGACAGGACTCATTGACCAGGCCAAGTCCACTTCTAATTGCAGGTGGGAAGGATCACTGAAATGTACAGTACATCAAGGCATCAAATTTTGGAGGCACCAAAAGAGATGCCCAGGAGGTCAGAACTTCTTCCTCTTGAAACAAGGAATCTTTCCATAGTGTAGTGGTTCTGTTGCAGGATTAGTGGTTTCCCAGCAATAACTGGGAGAGCAGCATTTGAGACTGTACTGTAACTACGAGTCAGGTGAATCAGTTTTGTTGGGCAGTCTTCAACCTCCTGTGGTTATGGGAGTAGCTTGCAACTTGACCCCATACAACTGAGCTGTAAAATAAGATTGGGACAAACACACAGTCATAAATGGAGTTAAACACCTCGTAGCCTAAACCCCATCTATTACGGGCAACATGTAGAAGGCTGCTAAGAATGAGACTAGTCCTATTGGTGGCGTATTGAATATGAAGCTTCTATGATAGTTTGTGGTCAAGTACCACACCAAGAAAGGTTAGCTGTTTAACAATCTTGATTGAGGTATCATTAAATCTCGCACATAGGACATGCCTATAGATTCTTGTATCACCTGGGGCAGAAAACACAATACCAAATATCTTATTTAAGTTAAAATTCAGCTTGTTCTCATCACCCCATTCTATGGCTTTTTTAATAATATCAGCAGCAGCAGTCTAAATTGCCATTCTTGAATTAGCAGGGAATACCAGAAATGCATTGTCTGCAGAAGCAAAAACACAATACTGGTGTCCAAAGTCCAGATGGAAAAACTGTCAAACAGTATGTTCCAGGAAAGAGGTCTGCAGACCAAGCTCCTGAGAGCACCCTCTCTGGAGGACATGAGAAAAAGACCTCTCACCAATGCTGATAGATGCCTTCCTGTTGTTGAAGTAATCTTTCACAAGATGAAACAGGTTAGATTGGCAGTCATAATCTGAAAGCCTTCTCAGTACCTGTGGCCACCAGGCTGAGTTGAAGGCATTTTGCAGGTCCATACTAAGATCGAACACATACTTATGCCTGGCGAGAAGATCCTTAATATAGTGGGACTTAATATAGACTTATGAACAATTAGACTGTACATGTACTGTACATCTAAAATTTAAATTTCACATGGATTCTGAAGTTCATTTGCAGCTTGTATGCTAGCATTGAAGCCAGTCTTTGGCCAATAAAAATAATAATTATTTTAATAAATAATTAATGTGGGTTAATTTTTATTGCATATCATTATTTTTCATTTTCATGCAAATTTTGAGGTTTCATTGCCATTTGTGAGGTGACATTTTACTTGGTAACATTGGAGTAATGGCATTTTTCTCTATTGTTTGCAATTTTTATAAAATTTTAAGTTTAGTGCTTTAAAAATATGTCTGAAACATAGTAGTAAATCTATCAGTGGAGATATGCAAGAAGTGATGCTCTATTATCATGGAAATTAAATTGGACATTATAAAACTGTGTGTTGGTGGGAAAAAACTATATTTGAAACACTTGCTACAAAGTAGTAATGAGTGAGTAAACATGAGCATAATGTATTCTATTAAGTACATTGAAGGATAAAATGCTAACAATAAGTGGTTATTTTGTTTACATATAGTATGTACTTTCTAGGTTAGTTTTTAACTTACGACAAAACCTCCAGAACCTAACCTGTTCATAAGTAGAAGAGAATCTGTAATTAACGGAGCATTTGGGTCAATAACTCAAGGGATGCACTTGCATGCTTGACACAGTTCAATTAGTATGAGAGATAGAAATGCATTAGTGAATCTTTTTAATGAATTTTAATGAATAATGTATATTATAGTTATAACAGAAATAATTTAACAAAGAAAAGTATTTCAAGAGTAAATAGTTGTCTAGAGACTTTATCTTATGAATATATTTACCTTATCTTAAATATTTTTCTGCTTTGTAAAATATTTTCCTAAAAATGAAGTTTTTTAATATGCAGTTTCATTTATTGATCTGCAGTTTTCAAATTGCAGACCTGTAGATTCCTACTTTTGTCAATCTAGATTAGATATGAAAAACTTAAGAGCTGGAAGTCCTGATGAACTCATGGTCTGGACTGGAAGTCATGTGATTTTTTTAAATTAAAATGTTTAAAAATTGCACTCCAGCATTGTGATGATGTCACAAAAAGTAATTATTCATAATTGTTGAATTTTATTTTATCAGAAAATATTTTTGCTATAAAATTTGTTAATAATAGTAAATTATGTTAGAATTACCTTTTTTGGGAACAGCTATGAAATATGTTTAAAATTTGTAATAGATTTTAAATAACTCTACAGTTTATTTTTCAAGAATATTAATTATTTTAGGTTAATTTCTTCAATGTTGGTTTCCTTCGATTATTTCGAGCTGCCCGATTGATCAAACTTCTGCGTCAGGGTTATACCATCCGAATACTTTTATGGACTTTCATCCAATCTTTTAAAGTATGTATATTAATTATTTGATTAAAATGTGATATAGTAATATTACTTTGTATTGTTATTAATTAGATAGTCATGTTCTTAAAATAAATAACTTTACATTTAATAAAGAAAAATTGAAATGAAAACTTTAATTAATTAATACTGATGATATGAATTACTAATTTATATAATTTGCATCAAAATATTCAATTAGTTAATAATATAAATTATTTTTTTTATCAAACAGATAAGTTAGTTTACATTGCAATTTTCTTTCTATAAATTATGATTTCATTAACTAATCACAATAAGAAATCAAACAATTCAAAATAAAAAAAATGTAATTTAGCAATAATTTTTAATGGACTGTTTTCAATCATCATTAGGTTTTAGAATGTAAACTAGGATTGTTCTATTCTTTCAGACAGTCTTTTCTTTTCAATGTTTTGCCCTGCATCCCAGGCAACACTATCCTAGGATAGCATTTGTCTCACTTATTTACATTTGCATTGAAAACGACACATGTTTTAAAAGAAAAATAAATCTGTATGACAACATTGTCCACAGTATAGTTTGAGATGACAGGATTGAAGATCAGCAACATAATGCACATTTAAACATTCTACTGTTCTGTTATAAATGTTGAATTATTGTCAGATATCTTTGTTCGAACTGTGCTTATGTGCATATAGGTTGATGTTTTGTGATGTATTAAAATTGAGCTGGAATATTAAATATGTCCACTGAAAGAAGCTGAAAAGAGAATGCAATTTAAACTTGAATGGAAAAATACTTAATATTGGATACAGAAATTATCTAACAGCAGTACAAGAAAACTTTTTTAAATGTTGACGTAACAAATTTTCTGTAAATTTTAGTGTTAAAAATAATTTTAAATAACATGCCATGACAAAAAGTTACAAAAAAAATTTTATTCAATTGAAACAATGTGAAATATTGCTGATTGGAGAGAAAATTCACACAAAAACGCGTTAACTATCATTTTGCTGTATGTTTTATTTTCTTACGAGTGCTTTCAACATAGTAAAAAGTGTCGTCCTCAGGTAGATACGGAATTGTATTGATTTCAAACAAAATTTTAAATTGAAATGAGAACAGTATTAGCCATTTGGAATCTTAGAACATTTAGAACAAGAAATTTTTTTTTAAACTTAAACTTGAAAAACGTAACAATGAGGCACATGCACCTTAATACACAGAGTAGACGGAGGGTGCTAATATTGATGTTTTAATTGCTTGTATAGATTAATCCAGATTCTGGGCAAATCCAGAGTGGGGAAGTTGCAAGGTGACAGCAAATTGATGTAAAGGGCCTCCAAATGTACACTAGGCCCCCTTATCACAGTGCCTGAGCATCACCACCCGGTCCCAAAGTGGAGTGTGTTGGTCTTACAATACCATCCTGGAGAGCTTGGTGTCATACCTTCCCACTGCAACAGAATGTTGGTGCTCAGAGATGTGGCCAGAGAGCATTCTAGTGGTTACCCCTATATAATGGGTGTGTACACCAGACACTGGGTTTTCCAAAGGAATAGAGTAAATGCCCAACTTTTCCAGGAATGAAACTGCATCCCTGTCATTACATAAAAGTGTGAAACTCCGGAAGTGGGTCAAAATTCATGCACAGAAAATGTTTTTAATTTCGTATAAAAAAAATTAATAATAATAATAATTCGTATAATATTGTAAAACAAAACCATCAGACATGAAATGTATATTTTATGTCCATATAAAGACATATCTGTAAAATTNGTTCTGTCTACATAATATAATTTTGACATTTGAAATAAATAAATGAATAAGATTTCTGTCCCTCTTTTATTCACAAAATAAAGACATCTATTATATTGTGATTTTAAAAACATTAAATATATTTTAACAATTATTTTTAAATTTACAAATTTCTTCACTGTGATAGTGAAGTTTTTCAGAATTTACAAAAAATAAAATTCATTGAAATTATTTGAACTTTAAAAATTTTATTGGTGTATACAGAGTTATTCTATTTGAGATTGAAAAAAGAATGATTATAGTATTAAAAAAAAAACATAAAATATTAACAAATGGTGGAATATCAGCACCATAGTAATGTAACACCAACTCGTATCTCTGAACCTTTTACTGGTGCATGTATTATCTCACTCTATAACAGTTACAAACGTTTTTGAACTGTTACGGTTCTTCTTCAGGTACCGATCCCCTAATGGAATGCTGTTCAACGATGTTATGAAATATGATCCGGAACGATGTCCCATCCCAATGACATCGTTCCTGATCGTATTTCGTAATATCGTTGAACAGCATTCCATTAGGGGATCGGTATCTGAAGAAGAACAGTAACGGTTCAAAAACTTTTGTAACTGTTATAGAGTGAGATAATACGCGCACCGGTAAAAGGTTTAGAGATATGAGTTGGTGTAACATAAAATATCTTACTGAAGAGAATTTGTGAAGAAAATATTCAGAATGGAAGTGATTGAAAATTTGTAAAACCTAAATTCAGCATATTATTAATTAAATTTATAATTTTCTGAAATCAATTTTTCCTATCTAAATATATTAAAATTNCGACATGGAGATACACTTGGCCAACATGGAGGAATTGATTGATCGTCTTACAGCATTGGGAGAAACTCTAGCTGAGAAATTAAAGATAGCATTATTACTTAGTAACTTGCCAGACAGCTATAACACTTTAATAACAGCACTAGAGACTCGTCCATAAGAAGAATTAACCCAGGAGTTAGTACGTAATAAATTACATGAGGAACACTCAAGAAGAAAGACCTCATCAAATGAAGAATATGAAGCGGATAAAGCATTTAAAGTGGGAACACACCCAGTAACTCAGAAGAGGAGTTTGCTCAAAAGTTATTTTTGCAAAATACAAGGATATATAAAGAAAGAATGTAGCTAATATGAAACATGGAAAGAAAAGCATCCAAATCAGATCAACAAAATTTATGCGGAAAGTGATGAACAACATCCGGAAAAGGAATCCTATGTATGTTTTAAGACAGGAACATAAAATGAGATTCATCAATGGTATGTAGACTCGGGAGCTTCATTGCATATGTGTTGTGAGAAATATTTATTCACAACCATTAATAGTAAACATAGAGAAAGAGTGATACTAGCCAATGGCCAAGCTCTATACTCTAAAGGTAAAGTCAATGTAATGATAACCTGCATGGATGAAAATAATGAACGATGTCGAATATGTATGAAAGACATGTTATATGTACCTCACCTTAAAGGAAATTTAATCTCAGTCAGAAGACTAATGACATTAGGGTCTGCCATAAAATTTGAAGGGAACATTTACTCTATCCTCCAGAAAAACAGAGTAACAGTAGCAACAGCAAACACATGTTTATATGAGTTTGATAAGTCTTATAAAGCACTTACAGTAATTAATGATAAGAAGAAATGCATTCACTTGTGGCATAGAAGTGTGAGAAATAAAAGGAACGAACAAGTTGATATGGAGAAGAAATTTAGTGATTTCTTCGATGGGCCAACATGATAACAAGTGAGCCTAATGTAGCAGACACTTATATGGGAAAATCCACTGATCTCAGTAGGGTTGAAACAAAGACAATAAACCAAAATAATAACCAGATAGCAATTTAATTTGCCCAACAACATACAGTGCTTCCAGTGAGACTTGCTGGAAAGAATACACCCCAACAAATCCAAAATTCTGAGTAACAGTAACATGCAATACACCTGACAATCCAAATTTCCGAGTAACTGGAACACACAATAAACCCAACAATAGACTGTTAATGAATTTCTGTAACATGAAGACAAAAAAAAAATGAACCGACAATACTATTGACGTGTTCTTACTTAAGTTTACAGTTTGAAACAAAATCGTCACCCTGATCTTGTTATACAGCCTTATTCTTGAGTGACTTCATGACTCCTATATCACATATCTTCACACACCACTATTCACCGATCATTCCAGTTTGCTTTCCTCTCTTCTTTTTCTGTCTTCGTCTCGTGGCCAAGTCGCCCCAGAAAAATCTCCCATCCTGATTACACCCTCTTTTTAAATATGCATAATTTCGAACCCCGACACACCCTGGTTTTACTTTGGGGCATGCCACCGAGTCAGACCTATCAACATGGCAAAGGGGAGCAGAAAAGATGTAAGGCACAGAAGATTAGGGCATTGTGACATAAACTCCATAATTTTGATGCAGAACAAGGAATTGGCTACAGGAATAAATATTCAGAAATGTCGCATATTTAAACTTTGTGAATATTGCATTGAGGTCAAAATGACTACTAAGAGTTTTTCAAAGAAATCGGAAACCAAAATATATCAATTACTTTAATTAATACACACAGACATATGCAGTCCAATGCAAACAGCAATATCAAGAGGCAACAAATATATTTTAACCATGATAAATGATTACAGTAGGTACACCAAAATATATCTTCTTAATCATAAAAGTGAAGTACCTGATTAAATAAAGGAATATGTTAAATATGTACAAACAAAATTTGGAAGAACTCAATGAATCAGATCAGACATAGGATGTGGATTTTCAAGTACCAACTTAAAGATATTCTTTAAAAATGAAGGTATTGTATGGGAAACTATGGCACCTTATTCCCTCAACAAAATTGAGTAGTGGAAAGGAAAAATAGATATATGATAGAATGACAAGATGCATGTTAATTGATGCTGGACTACCAAATAAATACTGGGGAGAAGTGGTGAATAATGCAAATTATCTACAGAATAGATTAATTACTAAAGCAAGTGAAACAACTCCATATGAAAAATATCATGGAAAGAAGCCAAACCTCATGCAAATAAGAATTTTTGGATGCTCAGCCTATGCTATTAAACCTAAAGAAACACGAAAGAAACTAGAACTTAAAGCCACAAAACTAATTTTTGTAGGATACAAGAGAGCATCAAGAGCTTATCGCTTAGTTGATACAAAAACTGATAATAAGCAGAAATGTTCACTTTCTGG